GTTTCAGTCTGGCAGCCGACTCTGGCCCCACTGCAGCCCCTGAAACTAATCTGTTTGTGTTTTATTTGATGGACATTCCACACACCTACGTGGTTGTAACGGATACTGCTGAATGTATCATAGACATGTTTTAAGGATGAGTAACACTTAAAATACCTGACGGGAAGGTAGGTTCCCAACGGGAAATGTCACGATTAGAACGGCAGCAGTAGGACAAGCACACGTCTGGGAGCCCACCAGGCTCCCCCAGCCCAGCCATGTGGTAGCAGTAACAAAGGACAGCACCCGAGGACGGGGTGGCAGGAAGAGATCAGCACACTGGTTAGAGAGCTGGCACAGGCAGGGGGGCTGAAAGAAAGCACCCAGCCAATTGTCCTCTCAGACCAATTGGGCCTGAAGAGCCTTTTTAAGTTACAAGTGTCAGTGGCTGAAAATTATACAAGACTGGTGCCCCCTGGTGGCGCAGGGTTAAGCACTCAGCAGCTAACTGAATGGTCAGCGGTTGGAACCCACCAGCCTCTCTACAGGAGAAAGATGTAGCAGTCTACTTCTGTAAAGATTACAGCCTTGGAAACCCTATGCGGCAGCTCTACTCTGTCCTGTAAGGTTGCTGCTATGAGTCGGAATCAACTCAATGGGCAGCGGCTTTGGTTTTGGTTATTTTGTTTTGGTGCTCACGGCCGAAGGATGTTGACACTCGGCACAGGCGCCCCCTGGTGTTTGGATACGGCAACTGCCTGACAACAATGCTCAGCTGAGCGGCAATGACGGGCTTGTGATCAAGCGTTGGTGGACACCGAGAGACTAACCTCCCTTCTTTGGTGTTGTTACTCCTTGACGTACTATTTTGAGATGGGCCTGGGGCAAAAGCACCAATAAAGTGGGTATTTCCCAGCAAGCATCTATCATGAAATGAAAATGATACACGCAACAAAGTTGTACAGCCCACTGCTGAGGCCACCTCACCTAGATCCCTGCTCAAGGAACATTTGCTTCACTCAGCCAGCATTGTTAAGGGTCTCTGCAGCAGTCCCATGTCACCTCTGATTGTTCCTTAGCGTGCCCACTCCCTGGGGCAGCAGTGGGCAAGGGTCCAAAAGAGGTTTACGGTCCACTCCCTGCCTCTAACTTCCCAGGGTCTAAGGTGTTCTTTCCCCACTAGCGGAACTGCTGTCCCTCAAGGGCCACATAATCAGTATGACCCAGGCCATGCACTGGCTCCCAGCACCCTCAGGAGTAATCTGAGTAAACAGAGGCTCGGTCAGCAGCTCCCACTTTGGATTAGCCATGGGCTCAAAGTATCCCAGTCCCAGCCTCCTCTTCTCTGCCCGGCAAGCACAGGTCGTCAGCTGTCGCCATTTTGGGAGAGGAGAACCAGCCCTTCCCAACTAAAGAGGGCTGGGACCACTTACATCATGTTCCAGACCCTGTCCTGCATAGGAACAGGGCCTGACACCCGGGGGCCCCTGGTGAATGCTAGTTGATGGAGGGAGGCAGTCCCTGCAGTGGGCTTCATGGCGCCATCCCCGCGCCCTTGTCCTTTTCAGGAGGACTCCATCTCCATCAACCACAACTGGGTCAACAGCTATAACCTGGCCACCAGGCAGCATTTCCTGCACCTGGAGATGAGTGGGTGGAGAGACACAATGTCAGACTGGCATCAGCACTGCCAGGCATGGACGGGGTCCTGGATTGGGAGGACCAAGCCTGAGCCCCTAGCACCCAGGTGAGGTCAGTCTGGGCCCTGGAGATAGGTGGAGAGGTGTCCTTCTCTTCCTTCTACTCCCGAGGTTTGGCTGTCATCTTCCTCTCTGCTCCCAGCCTAAGTCTGGCCAGGCGTCCAGTTTCCCTGCAAGCACTCTGTCTGTCCCGGTCACTCCTGAAGGGCTTGTTGACACAGATGCTGCCCCGGCCAGTCTTCAGTGGTGACCTTCACGTGGGTTCAGGATCCTTCACAGTCCAGCCTTTCTCATATCAACCTGTGCTTCCATGCTCTTCTCATGCTGTGTACTGCACACCTGGCCAGGCTGAGGGCATGGAGCAGTGGGCATGGCAAGTGGAGGCGTGCAGTCACCCACGTGCCAATGGGCGGCTCACTGAGCATGTGCACCAGAAATGGGCCCCCAAGACAGAATGTGGTAGGGCCGGGGAAGGGGCCCTGGGAAAGTGCTGTGGAGCAGAGGGTGCTCCTTCCTTAGGGGCTGGAGGGTTTACACACGATGGGTCTGTGAGGATGGACCAGCCCAGGACCCAGTGGGACAGGAGGAGGACATATCGGGTGGACAAGAGTCAGATGTGCAAGAGTTGGAGAGCGTGGGACACAGTCAATTAATTTGGCTGCTGAAGGGAAGCAGTGGGTATGGGGAAAGGAGGTATTGAGAGGTTGCATGCAGCCGGAAGGGGGTGCCCTGGTCACCAAGGCCAGGACTGCAGTTGTGGGGGGAGGCGGGTCACTTAAAGGCCAGGGCTGCGGGCAGTGATCGTAGTGGGCGGGGAAATCACCAGGGCCAGGCTCACAATCTGGGGGAAGAGGGAGGTAGGGCTACGTTTCTGGGACACGTCTGCTCATTGAGAGGCCTTTTAACCTCTTGGATGTCTGTGTCTCTCTCAGCCTCAAATCCTAACACTTGAGGGCAGGGCTGGTGTGTCCGGGTCCCTTCATAACCTGGACCTCTGCCCACCACCATCAGCAAGTAGCTTGGGGGCTAGAAATGAGCAGTGTCTCCCTGGCCTCTCAACTCTCTCTTGAGCATGAAGCTCTGTTTGGTATCACTTCCTTAAGATCTTCACTGAAAAAAGAACCCCCATCCTGGAGAATGAGAAGGGACTTGGAAAGGAGGAGGCTAAAGTGGGCCTCGAGCTGGGCCTCCACCAGACTGCTTCTGATGTCGGCCAGATGGCCAAGGTGCAGGAGTCCCTGACTGCCTGACTTCCAGAGAAGGGGACACCAGTGTGTTCTCTGTAGTCTTCCAGAGAGTGCTCCAGAGAGTGTGTTCTCTCTTCAGCCAATGAGTTCTTACAGGAGCTGGAAAAGGCCACTGCTTTAGCTGTGTCAGGAGCAGTGGGGTGTGGGTGGGCTCAGCCTGACTGCAGGTGAGCCAGCTCCACTAGCCTCAGGGCGGGGCAGTTGGTTATGTGGCTCCAGGTGTCCCCTTCCACAAACGAAGCACTGATCTCAGGTGTCAATTTCCTCAACCGTCTAATGTAGAAGACCTCTGCTCTGTGGGTTTTGTTGTCAGGGTCTGGTACAGCCTGGCTGCCACAGGAATCTCCTGGGATCCTTTAAAAACCCTGCAGCCCAAGGCTCTGTCCATAGGTTCCAGAGGGTGGGTGGGACAGGTCCTGGTGAACCTGACCTGCAGCGAGGGTTTGTTGTTCCCGAAGGAGTGGGTAGTGTCTGGGTCTCTGGACTGGGCTACGGCATTGCATGGACTTGGGGCTGCCTCCAAGGCTAGGGACAGATTGTTCTCACTTGTCAAGGGACAAGAACCAGCTGAGAGCCATTGGAAAGGATTAGCATTCTGGTGAGTTGCCACACACTTGGGTCAATGTGAATACCTGTGGCATCCTGGATATCCCCGCTCTTTATCAGTTCAAGCCCCTTCTGAGGATCTTCGTGGGGATGCCACATTCGATGCCCCCCTTGCTCTGGAGGCAGCAGCACCAGGAGGCATCTGGGTCTCTACCCTCTGCCTATGGGCTCACAACATCTCTGTGGCGGTGGATGCTGCCTGAGGCTCCACTGGTCAGGAGTCAGCCTTGGCCTCAGGTAGCAGGAGTGGGCCCACCTGCAGCTTGTCCTCGGGGGTCCCTTCTGCAGCACCACTATGCCCCTGCAAGCCCACCCTCTCTCCATGCTCTGTCCCCTGAACCACTTCAGAACACAGGCACATTGCCTAATGCCACACCCCCTGTTGTGGCAGAAGGAGCTTCTGCAGGTCACCTAGCCCAGGCCTCTTGGTGTGGAGAGGAGAAACTGAGGTCCAGAAGGGATGAAGCTGCTCCATGACCCAGCTCCTGAGTCTCTCGACCCCAGACTAGGACCACTATTTCAATAAAGTCCACCCCTCCCAAAGCGTCTGAGTTCCCATTGGCCTTTGCCCTCACCACGCAGGGTCCCGAGCCAGAGACACTCACTGGTCCCGGGTGAGCTCGTGTGCACTGGCTGCCCCTCCTGCGCAGGCACACACAGGTCACAGGGCTTGCCAGCAGCAAGTCAAGCAAGGCAGTTTTATTCCCTTCTTACTCGCTCCAGCACCGCCGTTTACATCACGGATAGGTGGACAGCAATTCGGGGACCCCCATCCATCCCCTCAACTGCAGGTCACCCCACAGGTCAGGGTAGAGAGAGCTCTTCCTGCCGTGCAGCCCTGGGAGGCCAGCTCGGCCGAGAGGCAGGGTGAGAGGGAGGGTAGGAGGTCCCCAGGAGATCATTCATGGGAGACAGACCAGATCAACAGGGTGGTCCTGAGCAGCCTGGCGCTTTCTGACCAGGGGTGGAGAAACAGGGAACAAGACCAACAGTGACGTGAGAATTTCAGTTACAGCACAAAAGACTGAGGTCAGACTTCTGGAAGAACTCTAGAATTCAGCCAGATGGATAGAGAGTCTGAAAGTATAGATCGTCCAGTCTACCATTTAGCAGATGGTAGCTGAAGCCCTGAGAGGCTCAGTTACTTGGGAGCAAAGCCTGGGCTAGGAGAAGCCAAGGGCTCCTCGCTCCCAGCCTGTGAGCTGCTGCAGGGCAAGGGGGTCACTGGAAACTGGACTAGTGGCCTAGAGATCGGCAGGGTGAGAAGAAAAGCAAATCACCCTGGCCAGGCCCATCACCCCTCACCCACAGTCAGGGCATCCCCTCCAAGAGCTGCATCCAAGGGCCCGCCATGCCCTCTGCCCCCTGCCCCCTGGGCAGTGCAGGGCCCGGCCCAGCCATGCTTGCTCCCACAGGGAGTCCAGTGTGGCTCTTCTCAGCCCTGCAGTCTTGCCTGGAAGAGGCCGAGCTACCAGCGATCCCTGGAGCCCCAGCGGCTGGGCAAGCGGTACAGCCTCATGTCTTCCTTCTGGATATGCTCATAGCAGGACTGGTGGGAGAGAGGCTGGGTCAGTGGGCCTGACTACTCCCGACTAGGCGCACAGGCTCTGGGCCCAATACCTGGTGCACACTCGGCCTGCCCACCACCGCCTCCGGCCTGGACCAGCCATGTCTCCAACTCATCCCTCAGTCACTGTCTGCAAGGGAAGTGGGGCCTTCCCCCTCCTACTGTGCAGCCTCAGGATGCAGCCTGAGGACCTTGGGGTCCCGAGGGCCGATGCCCCTCCCTGGCTCACTGCAACAGGACAGGACCAGGGCACTTCCCATGGAGACACAAAGGAGCGGACGAGAGCACCTCCCCCCAACGACGGCATCTCTGCCTAGGCCCGCCACCTCCTTGGTCCCTCACCTCCAGGGCCGTGAGCAGGAAGTCGTACAGACCTCCCGTGCTCATAGGGTCCATCATGTCCCGAATCAGGTGGATCTCAGCTCCCAGATGCTGGATTCTGGGGAACATCCCCTCTCCAAGAGTTCAAGGGAGAGGGGGAGAAGAGGGCCCATCAGGGACAGGACGAGCAGCTGGGGATGGGTGGCTGGACCCTAGGTGTAGCCCACACACCTGAGGGGGCCTCCCTCTCTAGGCCTCAGCTTCCCCATCTGTCCCGTGAAAGGCTGTCTCCATACACCCATCAGAGACTCCCAAGCGTATGCTCGGTGAGGGGGGGAAGGGGGAAGGGCCCTTCTTGCAGCTCCACCTCCCACCCGGGCTCCCTCCTGTGGGGGCTCACCGGGCCCGGGACACCACGTAGATGAGCAGCGGCAGCAGGTCGTCCATGGGCAGCTTGTGCTCCCGGCCAAGCACCCGCGACACAGTGGCCTCAATTTCCCCATATGTCCTCTCCAGCACCTCCAGCTTCTCCCGCGGGTCCACCGTGGTGCTACAGAGGGGCAAGGCTCCGGTCAAGGCTCTTGGGTTCCGTCCCTGCTGGGGGCCCCCAACACTGCCACCTCCAGCCCCCGCCTCCTTGGATGTGGACTTACACGATCTTCTGCAGGCACTCAGTGGCTGACAGGAAGCACTTGTCCCTGACCAGGGAGTGTCTCTGTGTGGTGAGGGGAGCCAGGATGGATGGGGCTGTGTACCCCCAACTCTGTCACCTCTCCTTCCTGGGTCTCAGGCTGGCCCTGAGCCCCTTGCTACCCATCCCTTGCCCATCACTTAGCTCAGGCCCTGCCTGAGCTTCAGCACAACCCTGGCCCTGATGGCCAAGGGCCAGTCACAGCTCCAGCGTGGGCCTCAGTTTACCTAAGCATAAAATGGGGTAAGTGGTCTCCTGTAGGTTGGGAGGATCAAAATGGATAAAGAAGATAAAAATCCTATCAGCCAATGGTCACCAGGCACTGCCTGATTCTAAGTACCTACAACAGCAGTTCTTAAACTTGAGCGCATCAGAATTCCCTGGAATGCTTGCTGGGACAGATTCCTGGGCCCAGCCCCTGAGTTTCTGGAGCAGTCGGTCTGGGCTGGGCCCAGGAATCTGCTTTTCTAACAGGGTCGCAGATGATGTTAATGCTACACACTTTGAGAACCACTGCCTGGTGTACCGGCCCACTTCACCCTCCCCATAACCCAGTGAGGCAGTACAAATACTGCCTCTGTTTTACAGATGAGGAAACCGAGGCATGGCTATCAAGTAGCTTGCCCACCACTGCACAGCCAGGGAAGGCCTGCCAAGGGTGGACCCTGTGTCTGAGCCTGGTCACTGCGGGCCATCAACTGCCCTGACCCACACCGGGAGCCTGGAGCCTCCTACTTCACCTCTGCCCCCAGCCAGCTCCTCGGCGGCCTCTAGCCAGCAATCGTGAGGCAGGGCTCCTTGGAAGACCTGGGCCCTCTCTCAGTGCCCAGGGGCCTCCGGCCAGCTGGACCCCCAGCTCAGGGCTCAGCTCCCCCCTTCCTGGAGCAGGTAATGGGCCTACCCTCTCACCTGATTGGTTGTCAGTGTAAGGTCCTTGAGGGGCCACAGGTGCCTGAAATTAAGAGTGAGACGGGAGGCTTTGCTAGGATGAGGGCACAGGGTCTGACATCGGAGGGAAAATGCCCTGTGCCGCCATGGCCCCCAGCGGTGCTGGGAAGGACTGGGAAGGAGATGGGTCCACAATGGTACCCCCGAGCGCAGGTGGAGGGATTCCTGGAGGAGACAGCCCTCCCTCCGGGCCCTGAGACGCGAGACGGGGGGGCGGCACCCCAGGCCAGCAGCCCCAGCATGAGCAAAGTCACCGGTGAGCAGGCCAGAGAACAAGAGTGGAGTGGGCTGGACTCTGTTCCAGAGGGGATGGGGCGCCAGCAGAGTGGTGCCCAAGCAGGGACGCAGCCGTCACCACAACTTAGAAGCACTGCAGCGGCTGCAGCATGGCAGGGGCGTGGGGAGAGTGGAGCAGGAGGCCAGTGCCCGGGAGGCAGCACCCAGCGGCGGACTGGGGAGGGGAGAAGCTTGGGAAGCCGCTGGCAGCCAGGTCTCTGGCCTGGCAAATGGGCAAATGGAAAAGGAAACAGGGTTCTAGACGGTGGGTGGGGAGAACCATCACTGGGTGACAAGGGAGACTCACGTGGGAGGGATGTGGGAGGGGTATCACTCATGGTATCAACAGATCAGAAAGATGCTGGGTAAAAGGAGGCCCTGGGGTGCAGAGAACACCCACCTGACCTTTTCCAGGAATAGCCCTCAGTTTTGGAGGGAGGCCTCCCCTCCCCCAGTCTCAGTCCCAGAGCCCAGAGCTGGTTGGTGACTTGCCCCAGCCCTAGTGGTAGATATTGAGGCAGGCCTGGCCAATGCGAGCCACAGCCAGTTTTCAAGGGCAGACTCAAGCCCCATTTAGGGGCTCTGCTGGAGCTGTTGGAAAGGTGCCAGCTCCCTATGGGGGCAGCGGGGGTGGGGGGAAGCTAGTCCAGTGGGCAGGGTATAAATCTCCAGGGGCAAGTGCCATGTTTGTCACCACAAGGGGAAGCCAGAGAAAGACTCACGGAGAAAGAAAGTGCTTCCCTTTGTCATGTGTTTGAGCACCCACATTTAGCCACACATGCATATATAACTCCTAGAACTTTCCAGGTACGTGAACCTATTCACCTCACCCCTCATTTTTGCTGACGACATCTGAGTTGAATTTGAGATGCTCTGAGTTTGACTAACATGGGAAGGAGGTAGGGAGCTTACTTCTGCACATCCAGGAACTCCAGCAGCTTGGTGTCGGGGAACAGGCTCAGGTTGGTGATGCCCTGGCTGTAGAGACTGTCCTCCTTCTCATGAAGAAGCAGGTAGAGAGTGAAGAGCTCTGGGTAGAAGCTGGGCAGAATGAGAGGCAGCACCAGTCCATGTACCCACAGGGCCCTGAGTGAGAGAGACCGGGCCAGGGTGTTAGGGTCAGCAGGGTGCGGTGTGGAGGGTGGGGATCACTACATGGGGCCACCCCTCAAATAGCCCACAGAACCGCTACCCCCACAATAGACAGTGTCCCTGCCTCCCTAGAAGGCCCTTTCCAATGCCTGTTCTCATTCGTGCATTCGCTCATTCATTCAATGACTCATTCAGTTGCTGTTGGCCACCTCATTCTCTCACTTGACTTTCAGAACCAATATGGCAGGTGGGGCAGGATTTTGATACCCATTTGAGTGGAAACAAAACTAGGGTTCCCCATGGACAGGTGACTTGCAGCAAAGCTCTCAGTAGCCATTCCAAGCTAGCTCTGGCCCCTAGTTTACCATGCTTCCTAGGACTCCAGAGGGAAGTTCTCCCTAATGTCTAACCCCATCCTCCAAGGCCCCTGCAAAACAGTGACAGAAAGGCCTCTCTGACCAGGAGCATCTCTGGGCCTGGAACCTGAAGGCACATTTTAGAATCTGGTCTCCAGGGACTGGGAGAGGTGGGGGGCAGATGTAATGGCCCACCTAACTCCTGATCTCTCTGTGTGACCTCAGGCACATCCCTGCCAGGCCTCAGTTTCCCCATCTGCGTGCAGGGTGCCTAGGGCAGCTACTCACTCTCCATGCACATGAGAGATGAGGCTGGGATGATGCATTTAGAGCAAAGATGAGCTCTGAACTCTGTGGCAGTGCTCCCTCCCCAGTTGCTCATGTGGCAGGGGTCATGGGTCCATGACAATGCAGTCCATGAACTATGTTGGCCAATAGCAAGAACTTCCCCAATGCTCCCCCCAGAAACACCCCTTTCCCCCAAGCTGCAAGGCCTCCCTGGAACTGATCCGGGCTGCACCAGGGGAGGGAACCCCGTGAGGGCCTGGGCCGGTCACCTGGTTTCTGCATCCTCCTCCTCCTCCAGGGCCTGACCCTTTCGCTGTAAGGCAACCTGCAGCAGACCCCTGCAAGGTAAGGAGAGAAGGGTGGTGTGGCTGCCACGTCCCACAGAACTGGGGGGTCCATCCTGTCAGTCACCAAAGGCCAGGCCAGGTGGACTCGGCTGCTCAGAACCATGGAACATGGGGTATGCAGAGTCCAGCCTCAAACCACAGCAGTTAGAAGGTTGGAACTACAGGGTGTCAGCATGGAATCCCAGCAACAGGAGCTGTGGCATCCAGGGGTCCTATCTGTAATATGGTTGATGGGGTCACAGCTCAGCCCAGGGCTGGAGATGGGGTCTGAGTCCTGGTCAGGGCTCAGCCTGCAGTGGGGACAGAGTTCCTAGGACTCTGGGTGAGGCCTGCAGTTGGGCCCTGGGTATCATCTCCCCGCCCTTTAATCCTTTTGCTCACCTGCCCCACACTGACCAACCCTCTGGTTCTTTGTGGCTCTAGGCAGAGGTGACACTTAGAAAGGGGAGACCCCTGCCCCCCCCAGGTCACAAGGTGGCAGCTGTCCCATGTTCACCAGGCTCACTTGTAGGCAGCCCAGAGTTCCTGGGCGTGCTGCTTCACCTCCTCCTGGGCCAAGTCCTGCAAGTGCTTGTTGGCCCCAACACCCGTGTACGTGGCCTGAAAGGTCAGCATCAGTGTGCGGAGCAGCTTTCCCAGGGGGTGCAGCGAGTTGCTCAGAGCCTGGCCAGGGGGTAGGCAGTGAGGGGACGCTCAGCGCCAGGGGGTGGAGCACAGCATGCCCAGACAAAACTGCCCCCATTTCATAGCTGAGAACACGGAGGCCCATCTCCTCTGGTCAGCATCCTGCTGTGAGAAACAGGGGCCCCTCCCCTGCAGGTGGCAGTGAGAGTGGGCTCACCCATGGGCTGCTCACCCCGCCCCTGCCCCGGGGCCCTCACCTTCCTGAGGTATGGCTGAAGGGCCTTGGGGTCCCGGTGCCGCAATAGCTCCTCCAAGATGTCTTCAATACTGCTCTTGCTGTCCTTAGGGTGGGTCCTGGGCACCACACACATGTCCCTCACTCATGTCTGGGCTCAGGCCATCCCCCTCCAGAAATTCTTTCTCCCGGCCCCTCTGGCCCACAGTGACCCCGACAGCGACCCTCTGGAAGTCCCCATGTGTCCAGGCCTCACCTCTGGCAGCACAGGTACTCCTGAGACTTGCGCAACTCCCTGGAGCTCTGGGTGTGGAAGCCCAGCAGGGCCTCCTGCAGGTCCCCGGGGCAGCTGGCGCGCACAAAGTCCCGGAAAGGGCCGTAGACGCCCTGCCAACGGCTCTCCACAGGGAAGGCGCCCAGGCCCAGCTGCCTGTGACAGAGATGGAGCTGAGGTGGCCAGGACCCTGTCCAGGCCCTTGGAGGAGCAGCAGTACTGGCCTGGCCCAGAGTCAGAGACAAGGAAGGGTGATGGATTGAGGGATGCAGATGGGGTTGACCTCAAAAGCTCCAGGAGGAGAAAGGAGAGGCAGAGAGGGACAGAGAATCTACACAGAGATGGAGAAGAAAAACAGGGACACACAGAGCCCTGGAAAGAGAGAGACGCAAAGGCAGGCAGACCTGGAGAGCAGAAGCCGAAGTCCAGACAGTGGAGTCTAAGGCTGGGATTCCTCTGCCTGAAGCCCCTGCCCCACGCTCCCACCACACCCAGTTCCTTCCAGAGCTTGATCGGCCCAGCCACCAGGCCCAGGGATCTGGCTGTGTTGGTAGGGGGGACCTCACACTACCCAATGGAGTGGGGACCTCCTCTGTCACACTCACAGGTTATCCTGCACCTGCACCCACCACCCGGGGCTGAATCATGCCCCCAGGGTTTGACATCCACTCCCAGCTACTGTCTTCAGGGTGGAAAAGCACAAGGGATCAACATCTGAAATGCTGCCTACTGGTGGAGCCCTGGTGGCTCAGAGGTTAAGAGCTCAGCTGCTAACCAAGGTTGGCAGTTCAAATCCACCAGCCGCTCCTTGGAAACACTACGGGGCAGTTCTACTCTGTACTATAGTGTCGCTATGAGTCAGAATCGACTTGACAGCTATGGGTTTGGTTTGGTTTGGTGGAATCAATGACTGGGATGACGCCCCGTGAGAACCTGAAACCCACACAGATACCCTCCTCCATGCATACCAAGTCTTCCTTAATACACATGGCAAGTCACCACTTCAACTACAGTTCTCCAAGGAAGAACTCTGTCCCCATGGGAAAAGAAGTCTGCCCCCTTTCAAATCCTGGATGACAGTGATAGTAATGTCACTTAGCAAGTTTCCTTCTTCACCCTGGCTGCCAGGGAACTCAGAGCCAAGCTTACACTCAGTTATAACTCTATTGGGTCTATCTGCATCTCTCTTTCTTTTAAGCTCAACTAGCACTTTTATTTTCTATTTTATTGTTATTTGTTCCTTTTGTAGAGTGCCTTGACCCTTCCTAGAAAAAAGCAGAGTCTAAGCAAAGTATTGGCTCAGTAGTTAAGCGCTGGGGTGCTAACTGAAAGGTTGGCAGTTCAAACCCACCAGCCACTCCACAGGAGAAAGATATGGTAGGCTGCTTCCATAAAGATTTACAGCCTTGGAAACCCTATGGGGAAGTTCTACTCTGTCCTACAGGGTCACTATGAGTCGGAATCCACTCAACAGCAATGGGTTTGGTTGGTGGTTTTTACGCAAAGTCTGACAAATAGTATTTTTCTCAAGTTGCGTGGCATGGGAGTTATCTCCACACAGCCCTTGATTCCAAGAGTCAGTCTCTGATAGTTCAGCTGTGTGCCCTGGGCTCTCTGAACCCACTAACGTGCTGAAAGGAGTCTCAGAGCAGAGCCTGATGAGGTCTCTCATGAGACCTGCCCGAGTCCTTTGGGGTGGAAACCCAGACACATGCCCAGACAGGCTCCGGGATGCAGGGGCCAGATGGGCCAGGTTCTCACCGCTTACGGATGCTGCTTGGGTCCGGTGGGAGGGCAGCTGTGTCCAGCACGCCCTGTATCTGCAGTCCTCTCCCTGCCCCATTGCTGAAGGAGCCCTCCAGGGTGAAGCCATTGGGGAAAGTGACCTTGCCCTGGAAGCCGGGACAAGGAAGCAGGAATGCTTGTCTGTCCACCTGTGTGTCTGTCCAGCTGCCCTTCCATCCAACCACAACAGGCCTCATGGCCCCACGTCCATCCTGGGTCATAATGGCTAGGGACTGATGGATGGGCTTCCCACCATTTACCCTATTTGCCCCACCCCAAGGGGCTCAGAGTCCTCCATCCCCACAGGAGCCCTCAGTTGTGCCCACCGCCCAGGGCCTCATCTCTGAGGTGGAAGAGGGAGAGAGAAAGGGAGAAGACAAAGGGGAGGGGGCACATGGGTCAGAGTGGGAGGACCACCCTTGTGGGGCTAGGTGGTGGTGAGGGGTAAGTCCAGAAACAGGCAGAGGCCTGGGGAGGAAGGAGGCATCCTTGGCACTGGGGGAGGAATAATCCCTTGCTGCATGGGCTGTCCCATGCATAAGAGCCCTGGTCTCCACCCACCAGATGCCAGTCATGTCCCCGAGTCACTATGAAACCAAAACAGTCCCACAGAAGGGGCACAGCTGACTTCTGCTGGGTCAACTCAGGCAGGAACATGCTGGAAGGCAGTGACTCCAGGGACACCTGCCCAGGCACCAATTGAGGGTCTTCCAGACTAAGGGACCAATGTGGAGAACATAGCCAGGAGACCACTAGCACCCACCGGGCCCGGGGCAAGCCCACCCGTCTGCTCTTGGTTTGCTCTAGGGTCAAATGGCAACTCTGCAGGAGGAGCCATCACCTTACCACTTCCCCCTCACCCGGATGTGGGGGAGGTAAGAGAGGACGTCCCCTGCCTTCTCCACCCCCTGCCCACACCCTCAGCCTGGGTCCAACAGGGGAGATCACAGAGCCCAGAAGAGGGCTTGGCAGGGTGTGTAGCGGGGTCTCGGTGGCCCTCACCTTCCCCACGAGGTTCAGGTCCCTGGTAAAGGTGCCCTCATAGAGGGAGTCGTCTTCAGAGAGGAGGACCCCTGGGCCCTAGGGAAGGAATAGGAGGAGTGGTGGGTTAGGAAGGACCAGGAGACTGGAGGTGGGGAGGGAACAGCAGGAAAAGGGGAGGTGGGCATTGACTCACAAGCAGACGGGTCCTGAGCCCCATTGCACCTCCCAGGACTGCACCTAGGTAGGACACCAGGCCTTGGCCCACTGAGCACCAGCCCCATGAAACTCATCCCTGGGTGCCCCTAAACTATACCCTTGGCTCTGGCTCCTCACCCCTGTGGCCTCTCTCAGGGAGCCCTTGGGAGACCCTTCCTACCCACTGATGGTTCAGGAAATGCTGGGCTTCTCCTGAGACATCTTTGCTTCCCTGTCACTGATTCTAGGGATGGTAGAGCCGACCAGGCTCCCTCGTTGCATTAGCTGCCAGGAAGCTCAGAGCAAAATGGGATGCAATTTCTGTTTGACTCATTTCTGAGTCTATATCATGTGCCTATTCTTGCCTTTTCTTCCTCTTTCCTTGTAGCCTCCTTCAATCCTTTCCAGAACAAAGTGGGGCATAATACACACAAACAAGCCCTAGTAACAGTAACAGCCATTAGGCCAGAACCTTACTATGCACCGAGCAAGCACCTGGCGGGTGTGGGTGAGACAGAAGGTGGGTGCTGGTGCACCCAGGCTCAGGACACCAGAGGTTGAGTCTCGGCTCTGCTGCTCAGAAGCTATGTATTTGTCATTCAGACACTAGGGACATTGACGTCAACCTGCAGGACTACTGGGAGGATTACACAAGATCATACTGGGAGGCTTAGCCCCAAGCAAGGCATCAAGTTAGGGGCCTATAAATGGGTGACTTGGGCAAGAACATGCTGGAAGGCAGTGACCCCAGGGACACCTGCTCAGGCACTGATTAGAGGTGTTCCAAACTAGGGGACCAATGGAGGAAGCATAGCCAGGAGACCACCAGTACCGCTGGGCCTGTGGCAGTGTATCATTACACACGTTATTCTTACTACTTCATTGAGGCTTTATGATAAGTACTATTAACCTGAGTTACCAATGGGGAAACTGAGGCCAGGAGAGACAGGGACCTGGACAAGGCCAGATTTATGGACTGAATTGTGTCCTCCAAAAATATGTGTCAATCATCCAAACTCCCTGAGGGACTGAATTGCTGGGCG